CCGAGGACAGAGTAAAGCTCATCGACGAATACCCAAGACCAACAAATCTAAAAACATTGCGAGGGTTTCTCGGTACGATAAATTATTTCAAGAAATTAATTCCCGATTTAAGCCAAAAAGAAATTCCTTTAATAAAATTGTTAAAGAAAGGGACAAAATGGAATTGGAAAGAAGAACAGGAGGAAGCTTTCAAAATATTGAAACAAGAATTTGCTAAAGGAACGAAAATATATCACCCTATGTACAATTTGCCGTTTATACTCCGTACGGATGCGTCGATACAGAAATTTGCAGGAGTGTTGTCGCAAATACAAAACGGCCAAGAGGTTCCGATATGTTTTATATCTCGAGTGACTAAAACACATGAGAGAAAATACAGTGTCACCGAGTTGGAATTCGCCAGTGTACTATTTTGCGTAAACAAATTAAGGTTTTACTTATTGGGAGCTAAATTCACCATCGAAACGGATCATGCAGCATTGATACACATCATGAAGAATCGATTGGTAAATAACAGAATACACAGAGGCATTCTGCTCTTACAAGAGTATGATTTCGAATTCCGATACATCAAAGGGAAAGACAACATAATAGCTGACGCTTTAACACGGGACGAAGATACAGGAAAAAAAGAGACAATTACATTACATGTGGGATTGAATATATTGACACAAGCCGAAGGAATATTTTCATTAAATGAGATAAGGACCGACCAGGAAGGCCTAGAAGAAAGAGAAAAGAGAAGAGCGGAGCTAGAAAACGAGATATTTTTTAAGAGAATAGACGGAAAGGAATTATATTTAGTGACACCGACATTGGCAGAAAAAATCATAAAGAAGCTACACGAGGAAAATGGACATATTGGCAGTAGAAAGGTATGGCTTGTGTTTAGGGAAAACTACATCAGTCGACAAGATTACCGCATTGCAAAAGAGATCACACAGAAATGCGAAGTATGCCAGAAATACAAGAGCAGGAATTTTAAAAACGAAAATATTGCAAAGAGCATTGTATCCCGGAACAACCTGGACATTATAGCCATCGACATGTTAAGCGATCTAATTGTGACCACCCAAAGGAACAAGCATATTCTGGTGATGGTGGATGTGTTCTCAAAATACGTGAAATTATATAGTTGCCGCACCACAAAAGGGGAAGAAATATTGAGAAAAATAGACAATTTCATCGCTACGGTAGGAACCCCAAGAAAAATTTTACTAGACAATGCAACGTACTTCCGAAATGATCGTTTCAAGGGACAGCTTAGAGAACGGGGAATCGAGACGAACTTTGTAAGCATCAGGCATCCCCAAAGTAATCCTTCTGAGCGATTTATACAAGAGGTAACGAAATTTCTTCGCATTGCAACGGATGGTCAACATCGGCGATGGGACAGAAAATTGGGAGAAATAGAGATGTACCTAAATTCCATGCCAAGTACAGTAACGAAAGAAACACCAGAATACGTCATGAAAGGCGTCATGCCGATAAGACCGTGGGAAGATCCAGAACAAAGAGAGTATCGACAGGTTATAGAAACGGTTCAGAGGAGATTAAGAAGAAGCAATGAGAAATACATCCAGAGACAGGGTCATAATAGGAAACGAAGACCAGTAACTTTCCAAAAGGGTGACAAAGTAATGGTAAGAGCATTAAGAGTGTCAAATCTTCAGAGCGGTATTTGCGCAAAATTGATGCCTGTTTTCGAAGGGCCATACATAGTAAACAACGAAGATGGAGTAAACAGCTATGAGTTGAAACATATGGATTCTGAAAAGATCAGAGGTATTTATAATATCCATGATGTATATAAATATCACGAATGAAGATTTAAATTTGTATAAAGTAGATAGTAGGATAGGATAATACGTAGCATAAGTACAGCTAGCATACAGGAAGTGCGTTTTAGTTTGCCTCGAGAAAATTTAGTTGCATAGATTGATAAATTTTATCGATTACAAAGGCGGGGATTTGTTGTACTTTTGAATGTCTGTTAGCAATAAAAAAACCCGATATACAAATTTTATTACTTAAATAAAAATTAAAATTATTGATATTTCATAATGACACGGGCATATAAATTTTCAAACATCCTGTATAAGACAAAATATGTATTTTAAGTTGTTCAAAGAATTGTTCATTAGGCCTCAGAGACAAGACTTTCAAATATTATCGATAAGAAATTTAAATAAGTCGGTTATTGTGAAATGGATTTACCCGTAATAAAAGTGTATATAGAAAGTGTTTAAACAATAGACCGGGATGTGCGGTGGTTTTTCCCCCCGAAAGATTATATCGGTAAAAGTTTATTAACAAAAGACATTGAATTGAGAAACAGGTATCGTTTGTAGCTATTAGTAAGAAATATTTGTAAAGCAGATAGATTTAGTTAGAATAATTAAAGAATGTTGTTTTCTGGAATTACCCGAATGACGTTTTAATAGAGAGAGTTGGTTGATAACGATATACGTCACAGAGGTAGAAGATTTTTATTGGTCAATTTTTGAATGCAAGGAGGGGTGGTTTTGGCTATGAGATAGGAGAGAGGAAAGGGGTTAGTCAGTTTTCGTCGCCCAAGAAGGAAGGAGCTTTGTGGTTTGTGTTTGTTTGAAATCCCGAAGACGTAATTTACCGGGTTTGTTTATTTGCGGTGTAAAAGCTGATGAGTGTGAGGAACGGGGTACAGAGAGATAGAAAAACCAAAAGGTTATAAGAATATTAATAGCAGACGAAGCCGGAAACATTTGAAGTTACAAACAGGCGCGGAGATTGGTTCAAAAGGAGGCTGCATAGAATTACACGAGTTGTTGGGTTGCAGATACAAGGACAGAGAGGAGAAAGGTGTACGTCTTCTGGACCAAAATAGGAGCAGAAGCAGAGAAAGGTTTTTTTTTATGGCGTGGCCATAGAATTGCAACGGCAGATAACGAAAGGTCAGTCAATTTTCATTAGAGCAGGAGTGTGGTTTTCATTTATAAATTAAATAAATTGAATAAATTATAGAGACAGTTAATTTTGCGATCATTTAAAAAAGAAAAAATTATAAAGAGAGCTTAGTTATAACACATTAAAAATCAATGTAAAATAACATTTGGGTCCATGATAGAAAACAACTTCTCATATATTTAAAGTATTGTATTGCAAATATTACCGGATTGATTGTTATATAAAATTTCAATAAAATAAAGGACATCTCACATATACTTCAGTTGAAATTCTGTGTATTTTATTCAGGTCATATTACCTATCCCAATTAGGAAGCCAATTGGAAAATATTTTGAATCCACGATCAAAGGTAAATAGTACAAGTTAAATATCCTGAGATTGTAATTAATTAATGCTGATTTATTGTGATTAATTGGAGATTAGATCATTTAATAAATATAGACAGGATCTTTTCTAAATAAGCAATAGAATACAATTTAAATAGCATAACAATATATATATATATATATATATATATATATATATATATACTTTTTAACTTATTTATTATTATTAACTATATTCGGAGGAAATATTTAAGGAAGCCTTAATGGAGACAACCGAAGGTATTATTGTGAATGGAGTAACCGTCAACAATATTAGATATGCCGACGATACCTTAGTCCTTGCCAATTGCGGAGAAGACCTTCAAAATCGAATGAACAAAATAAAACAGACTTGTGATCAGTATGGATTAAAACTCAACGTTAAGAAAACGAAATATATGATAGTTAGCAAACAAAATTATATACAGGATGACGGTATAAAAGTCGGAGATGCCACACTGGACAGAGCAGAGAAACTCGTGTATCTCGGCAGTAATATCAATGAGAGCTGGAATCCAACCGCAGAAATTAAAAGCCGAATAGAACAAGCCCGAGCTGCCTTTGTAAAAATGAGAAACGTACCTTGCAGTCACGATCTTAGCATTGACCTTAGAGTTCGAATGACATCTTGCTACATCTTTCCTGTCCTGCTGTATGGAGTGGAAGCGTGGACTCTAACTGAGGCTATGCTTAAACGCTTGACAGCCTTTAAGATGTGGGTATACAGACGACTACTGAAAATAAGCTGGGTCGACAGAGTTAGAAATGAGGAGGTCCTTAGACGGCTGAGCCAAACAAAACAACTGGTCAATATAATAAAGAAACGCAAGCTGGAATACTTCGGTCACATTATGAGACACCCTGAAAAATATGATCTTTTACATCTGATCATTCAGGAAAAGATCCAAGGTAATCGTGGTCCTGGTAGACGAAGAACATCATGGCTGAAAAATCTAAGGCAATGGTATGGAAAATCAATTACATCGTTGTTTAGAGCTGCTGTCAATAAAGTCACGATAGCGAATATGGTAGCCAGCATGATATCCAACGATCGATAACGGTCATGGAACTAGAAGAAGAAGAAATTTTAATCTAAAAGAATTATTGACTTTCCGTAAGGGGTAGTTAACGGGTGAAAAATTACTAAGGTGGTAATAAATTCGTGAAATCCTAACAGAGCACTATGTTATATTATAAATATTTTTCTGGATTTTACTAGTTTTAACCGTAAACCAGCAAAATCGCTCCCTTTAAGGGTGGTTTAGTGGTGAAAAATTATTAGGGTGGTAATAAATTCGGGAAAAATGGGTAGAAAAATATGCCATCGGCAAAAAGTTTTTTTCTGAATTCTGCTAGCTTGAACATTAAGCCAGCAGAATAGCTCCCCTTAAGGTTGGTATGGTGGTGAAAAATTATTAGGGTGGTAATAAATTAGTGAAAAATGGGTAGAAAAATATGCCATCGGCAAAAAGTTTTTTTTCTGAATTCTGCTAGCTTGAACCTTAAGCCAGCAGAATCACTCCCCTTAAGATTGGTTTGGTGGTAAAAAAATATTAGGGTGGTAATAAATTAGTGAAAACTACTATGTTTGGTTAAATTGGATTCCGCTCATTTGTCCCCGCTAGCTTAAGGGTCCTGTACTCTCGCTAATCTTAATCCTAATATAAAAAAAATATTTGAGTTTTTTTAACAAAATTTTATTATCGATATAATTTGTAAATATTCCTTGGAGGTGCATGCTTTGAAATATATTCCCAAACAATTTTCATCCCTATTCCACTGAGTAATTTAAATAAGAACGGTTTAATTGTAATGTCGGTGGATTGCCCAATAATAGCATACAAATCTTCGTACGATAACTCCAAAAATTCGATATCTGTGTGAATATACCCAAGTTTCTTAAAAAGAATACCAGTTACGAAAACATCGTCTACCCACAAAAAGGAGTTTGATTGTTGCGCTTCGTTGTATAGAGCTACTACTACTTCTGGTGTGTAAATAAGAATATATCCAAGACAATACGGTGGATAGACTTCTTCTGGATATTCATTAAATGATACCACCCATTTGGAATAGTTTCTTTCTACAGGGCTGTGAGTTCTCGTAACACAATATATAGTTTGTCTATCACTGTAAGGATATACACCGAAAGTAAGAAAATTTTCCATACTTGGCCAGTTGATGAAGACGTCGTCGTCGGTTTTTAATAAAAATTTTGCATGCGGACAATGATAAACAAAGTATTTTAGAGCCATTATATGCTTGTACGTCAAGTTTTTGTAACTGTCTTTAAAATTTCCTTGTATAATATCACCAAATTGCGCATTTTCAACTTCTATTTTTTTCTGTTTTCTTGTAGAACCAGGATCTGCTATCAGGAACAGTAGTTTTTTATTTTCTCCCACTTGCCCCCATGTAGTCCTTATTGTCTGCCTCTTCCTGAAATTCAAAGGTGCAGAATGGACCAATATAAGCACTAATAATGGAACATTTTCATGGCACACTTGATTCAATATAGAAAACTCAAAGCTGATATTAAACAGACGATTGTAATCGTCAGTTGACAGTACGTAAGTCTTTCTATTTAACAATAACTTTCTAGTAATTGGTTTGGATAACTTATAAAAAATGTTGTTTTGCAACTGTGAGCTTTGCAAATATATTACAAAAATAATTGTGATTTTTGATATCATCAATCCTATTAACATAAACTTTGTTTTATTCTTAACCATAATTGATAGTCAACCTAAAACAAAAAAGAGAAGTGTAATGATTCTTACAATCAAGAATTGCAGTTTTGTTATAAAAATAAGTTTGTAGCGTTTTAAATCTCAAGGATATCTCAAGAAAAATCACAAAATGAAGAATCAAAACGAAACGGCCCCGAGTGCTTGGCGTCTTTTAAATGGGACAGGGGTGCGAAGAATCTCCAGGAGGAAAAACAAAATAAATAATATAAATCGTATTGCAACGTGGAATGTACGAACATTATATAAAACTGTACAACTTGCAACAGTATCACTAGAGATGAGCAGACTTAAAATAGGTATATTTGGCCTTAGCGAAGTAAGATGGCCCAGTGCTGGACAGTGTTATCACAACGACATTGTTCTTTATTACTCGGGCAGCAGTACTGGTGATCACAAAAATGGTGTAGGAATCATAATAAAAAAAGCACTACAACCTTATGTCTCAAATTTTATTCCCTATAATGAAAGAATACTAATGTTACAGTTGAAAACCCACCCAATAAACATAAACATTATTCAAATTTATGCTCCAACATCAAGCAGCACCGATAATGACATAGATGTATTCTATTCAGATTTAGAACAACTAACGAAAATCATAAAAAAAACATGAAGTCAACATAATAATGGGCGACTTTAACGCCAAAGTCGGTAAAGGGAAAGTAGAAGATATCGTAGGGACTTATGGTCTAGGAATTAGAAATGAGAGAGGAGACCAATTAGTACAATATTGTCAAGAGAAAGAACTAGTCATCACAAACACCTTTTATCAATTACCACCAAGAACACTCTATACTTATAGTGCACCAGGAGACAACAAGAATAATCTGATAAGAAACCAAAGCGATTACATTCTTGTCAACAAAATATTTAGAAATGGAATTAAAAGCGTTAAAACATATCCTAGTGCTGATGCAGACTCCGACCACAATCTACTTCTTGCCAACGTTAATATTAAACTGAGAAAACAACAGAAAAAAAGTAAAATTCAGAGACTAGATTTATCAAAGCTTGAGGGTGAAAAATGTCAACAACAAATAAATGAAACAGTTGCACCAGCATTCGCAGAGGCGTCAAAAAAAGATATTAATAGTGCCTGGAACGAAATGAAATCGGCAGTACTTAACGCCGGTAAAACGTTTGTGGGTAAAAAAGAACCAATTGCCAAAAAAGACTGGATGACACCAGATATTATAAACCTCATAGAAGAAAAACGAAAATACAAAAATACAAATAAAGAGAAGTACAAGCAAATGAAGAAACTAGTAGAAACGCAGATCAAGGAAGCTAAATAACACTGGACGGTAGAAAATTGTAGAGAAATAGAAGAACTTAATATGAAACACGACTCACATGGGCTACATAAGAAACTGAAAGAAATTACAGGAAATAATCGGAAGAGAATACTACAAGTTATACGAAACTCCAAGGGGAATCTCCAATTATCAGCAGTAGAAAAACAACAAAGTTGGGAGAAATACATTAAGGACTTATTCGCAGATAATAAAGAAGAAATAAATGATACATTACCAACTAATGAAAATCTAAAAATTCTGATATCAGAGGTTAAACAGGCAATTAAAATCTCAAAAAGTGGCAAAGCGCCAGGTCCCGATGAAATTCCTGTAGAGATATTAAAAATCCTGAATGATGAAAATATAGAGTGTCTAACTAAATTATTTAATAAAATATACCACGATGGTCCAATCCCGGATGAATGGTTAAAATCTTTTTACCCTTACCCAAGAAAAATAATCCTAAATCTTGCGATGAGTACCGATTAATTAGCCTTATGAGCCACACTTTAAAAATACTACTCAAAGTTATTCAGCAGCGTATATACAAAAAATGTGAAGAACAATTAAACAATACAAACAGGTTAATTTAATTATTTACAAACTCTCCTGGAAATCATTAACATCCTTAAAAATAAAACAATCCTTAAAAAGATGGGACTAACAATGAATATAAATAAAACCAAATACATGGTGATCTCAAAAAACCCTGTTGACAACATACAACTGACATTGGAGGGTAAACCCCTAGAGAGAGTCGACAAATATAAATACCTCGGAGCAATTATAAACTCACAGTTAGATCAAGAGCAGGAGATAAAGGTCAGAACAGAAATGGCTCGAAAAGGCTTTATAAAATACAAGTCAATGTTTACAAATAAGAAATTGAGTATGGCCATCAGATTGAGGTTCGTCGAATGTTATGTTTGATCGCAACTACTATATGGGGTAGAAGCTTGGACTCTGAAAAATCTATAAAAAATTGGAGGCATTCGAAATGAGGCTATATAGGCGTATTTTGAAGATTCCTTGGACTGCAAAAGTCTCAAATGAGGAAGTTTAAGACGAGTTGGACATGGCAGAAAGCTTGCGAACACAATTAAAATAAGAAAAACATCGTATCTGGGCCATCTACTCCGAAACGATAAATACTCTCTGCTACAAGTCATCATGCAAGGTAGAGTAGAGGGAAGAAAAGGCTTGGGAAGAAACAAGAAATCTTGACTGAGGAATATCAGAGATTGGGCTAACCTCAGTGTTGAACAGATATTTCACGTTGCAAAAGATCGAGAAGCGTTTAAAGAAGTGATCGCCAACCTTCGTTATAAGACGGCACAAGAAGAAGAAGCGTTTTAAATTTTTTTAACTATTTTACGTTTAAAATTTTGTAGTTCACCCCTGAGCTTTATATAAATATTTTTGTCTTTATTTACATTGAAATCCCCCAATTCTCTGTATACATTGTGAGGTAGAAGATTTCCAAATTTCGATTATAACTGGGACGTTAAAATAATCAATATAATACGTGTCTTTTGTACAAATTTAAAAAGGGGTTTGTTTCAAGGTCGCTTTGTAACATAGTTGAGGCCTGTTTTAAAAACAAAAAATTTATGTTGGAGAGGTAAGAGAAAGGGTAGCCCTCGCTGGTATTAGATTGAGGTCAGGAGAATTTAGGCAGGTTGAGAAAAGTAATGGAACATGAAGGTTGTATAGGGCAGCCAGAGTGGACAGACATATTAGCGATGTAGTTTGAAAAAGTCGACAAATTTTGTTGAAGAGTGGAATAATTACTCTCTGTAATATGGGAGATTTAGAAAAGAGTAACCACTAAATATTTAAGGGATTTGTGCAGTATAAAATAATATCCCTCTCTGGGACTGTAATTTTCCCCTCGACGCTGGTGAGAGGGCCGAGTAATTGGTCTTGGTCCCTTAATTTGTGAGGGGAGCACGACCGGTGAAACCAAACACAGTCCCAGCGTCCAGCGTTTGTGAACCGGGTGAGCGACGGACACCGCCGCTGGACGCTAAAGGGCGTCGCAACTGAGACGAGCAGATGCGACGCTTTTTCGCCTTTAGCAACACAAGTACCTACCAACTCTCCCATGGCTGCTCAATCCCAATTTTCAATCTCGTCCACCAAAAAAAAAAAAAGAAAAAAAAAAACATATTCTCCCAATACATTTCACATTAGTAGCAGACACGTTTACCCCACCGGTCACCTTTTCCATTACACGTCCCGCCAAAGATATGAGAGATGCGAGGGTTAGAGCATCAAAAACGATCCCTTCGAGATACCTTGGACCTCTCGAAGTATCGAAGCCTTAGCGCGGTAAGGGCGCACTGCCGCACCAGACGTATAGCACGTCCCGACTCGTGGGACCATTTATGAGTAAAATAAAAAATTTAAAACAGACGGGGATGAAGAATGACGACCATCGGCAAGACAATATGAACAATGTAAAGGAAATTGAAAAAAAGAGTAGTGAGGAACAGTCGCATGACGACTTGAAAACAGAATAAGAAGGAAAGATGAAAACATTTATGAGTATATGCGACAGTAAACGGAAAGAGAAAGTATATGTAAAGACAAAGTGGGAACAAGCGGGGCTACTAGAAACAGTAGAAAAAAAGAACTGTATAATATTTACAAAAAAGGAAGCGAAAGATAAAGGTGTGGAAAACATCATTAAAGATGTAGGGGAGGACCTAGCGGAGATGCTAGAAGAAATAGAAGAGGGAGAAATAAATTAGCTAGAGAACACCAGAAGAAAAGCAAACAAAAAAACAATATGGTATACTTTCGTTGCCAGATTAGACAAAGAGCGGGGGGAAGATGCACACGACATGGCAGAAAAGGCTATAAAGGACACAAGGAAAGAAACGAACGAAATCCCAGAGGTCATGCGGGTTGTAGTCGCAAACTACCTAAATAAGAAACGATAAGGAAAGCTCTCGAATATGTAGGGCATAGAGATAGTATATCCTGGGAGATTTTGGTAAGAGGGAAGGAATTCGGTGCAGAGAGGAGAGTGGAACAAGAGGAAGCTCTACTCATAAAGATGGAAGGAAAGAAATACAACGAAGTTCTTAGCGAAATAAGAGAGAAAATCGACATTCGAAAGATCGGGGTACAAGTGGACAAGCTAAAAAGAACGAATGGGGGAGATCTACTTGTAAAATTAAATGGGAGAGGGGCTGCAGCGAAGCTGAGGGCCGAACTGGACAGCAAAATGAACGGGATGGACACGGCAATCCGAAGAAAGGAGACTTTCTTCACTATTACGAGTTTGGACCCTGGGGTGAGTGAAGAAAGTTTAAAAAAAGCAATAAAGAGCTATACATGCATCGCGGAAGGAGAGATATAAGTTAAGGCCCTAAGAGTCAACAGATATGGGGAACAGGTGGCTACGATACCCGTACGCCCCTCCAGAGCAGAAGAGCTGAGGAGGTACAGCACAATAAAAATAGGATGGGTTGGATGTCCAATAATGGAGAGACACAACCCAATTAGATGCTATAAGTGCCTAAAGTTCGGGCACAATACATACGAATGCAAAGAAGAGAGCAGGGCGGCGTGCTGCTATAATTGTTCAAAAACGGGGCATACGGTCGCAAACTGCACCAGCAAACCGTACTGCTCGGTGTGCAAAGAAGAAGGGCACAGGATGGACAGGATGGCTTGTCGGTCCTACCAAGCCCTTGCATACGGCTGGAGAAGAGAGGGGAACTCATAAAATACGCCAAAAAAATATAAAATAGACTTTTTGGAAAATGAACATGATCAAGAAAGAAGCAAATATAAATCTACAAAAGTATAAAGAAATACAACGAATAATTAAGGAAAAATCAAAACAGCTAATGAAATCTATTTGATGACACAATATAAAGAGATAGAAGAACTAGAAACAAAATATAATGTGAGAAATATGCACATAAAAATAAGAGAAGTGACTTCGATGGGTCGAAATAGACAGCAAGGACACATAAAAGACAAAAAAAGGAGTACTACTTATAGATTTACCAGAGAAATTAGGACGATGGGAGGAGTACGTTAAAGAACTTTTCCAAGATGAAAGAGGTGAAATACAGAAAATACAAAAATTAAATCCTTTAGAGACACAGAAGATCACTATAGATGAAATCAAATATGCTATCAACAACTCTAAAGACAATAAGGTAGCTGGATTAGATGAAATACTAGTAGAACTGTTAAAACTAGTGGCAGGAGATAACTTAGAAGTATTGGCAGTTTTATTCAACACGGAGTACGATACGGGAATAATATCAGAAGAGTGGCTGAAGTCAGCATTTATAACCATTCCTAAAAAACAATCAGCAAAAGAGTGCTCTAATTATCGAACACTGAGCCTCATGAGTCATACTTTAAAAGTACTGCTGAAAGTAATACGGTAATGTAAACGTTGATCTACACTTGTGTTTCGTTGACTACGAAAAAGCTTTCGATAAAGTAAGACATGAAAAACTAATATCAATACTTCTGAACAGGCGCATTGACAGTAAAATCATAAATATAGTGCAAACATTATATTGGAACCAAAGTGCCATAGTTCAAATTGATGGGCAACATTCAGAAGAAATGAAAATGTGTAGAGGAGTTAGACAGGGACGTATTTTATCGCCACTTTTTTTTTAACTTATATTCTGAAGAAATTTTCCAAAACACGCTCAATAATATCGAAGCGGTTGTCACCGTTAACGGAAAATTAATTAACAACTTACGATATGCTGACGACACTGTGATCATAGCAACGAGTATAGAGGATCTACAATATCTTATCGAAAGCTTGAGTTTGAATAGCGCTGGGATGGGAATTACTATAAACGCTAAAAAAAAGTTGCTAATTACAAAAGACCACATATATACATCACCTATTGACAATCAATGCTAAAGTGATACAACAAGTAGAAAAATATCAGTATTTGGGAACTGTGATCAATGAAACCAATGATCATACTGTAGAAATAAACAGGCGAATCGAGATTGCCAGATCAGCATTTATACGAATGAAGCCACTCCTAACGTGCAAAAATCTAAATTTGGAGAAAAGACCACGTACCATTCGCTGTTATATATTTTCAATATTATTATATGGAGCTGAGACTTTGGACATTAAAAAAATGAAATTTAAAAAGAATCGAGGCTTTCGAACTCTGGTTATACCGCAGAGTATTAAAAATATCATGGAGTGATAGAATTACAAATAAAGAAGTACTGGAGAGGGTTGGTAAAGAAACAGAACTAATCACTACTGTACAAACCAGAAAACTGGAATACCTAGGCCACGTGATGAGGGGACCACAATATGAAATTTTGAGACTGATAATACAGGGAAAGATTCAAGAAAGAAGATCTGTTGGCTGAAGGCAGAACTCATGGTTAAAGAATCTACGTGATTGGTATCAATGCAGATCGATTGATTTGTTTAGAGCAGCAAGTTCTAGAATAAAAATAGCCATTATGATTGCTAACCTCCGTAGGGAGACGGAACTCTAAGAAGAAGAAGAACATATCAAAGTAACAAGGAAAGGAAAAAAAAAATTGGAATTCGGTGAGGTCTGGTAAACAAACTCAGAGAAACGTGTGACTTAAAATAGAGGTACATACCACTTATAAAATATTGAAAAATATCACTATACTAATAGTCTATGGATGTCCGTGGACAGTATTTTTCCATTTGTCTTAACGGACTCGTTGGACCTGTTTCACATCGTGTGTAATAAACACTTACTTTTTGTACTCGTTACATAAATAACTGCTAAACAACTAAAAATTACATTGCTATGAATAGTCAATAAAATTAAGGCAATAACTTTTTAACAGCTTTTTACGAACACAATGGATAATAACTCACGAATTGTAAAAATTAGAAATATGCAATAAAATTAATACCTTACCAAAAACACTTTTCTTTCTCAAGATTGGTTTAACTAATACCTAAACAACACTAACAAAACACTAGGTTTTAAAAACTCAGATATTAATGTTAACTATCAAAACAGTGGCGTCCATAGGAAAGAACCAGGCTGAGACAATATTACCTAAATAAATTTCCTGTAGTATAATTTACCTGTAAAAAAGTAATTACCTGTAATAAAGTAAAGTTTATAGATCTAGAGAAGGCATACAATACGGTACCTTTGAAAAACTCTTTCGAACATTGACGAAAGTAGGTCTCAGTAGAGAGTATGTGGATGCTATCTCAAATATATACAAAAATGCAAGAAGTGTCGTTAAAGAAGGAAACTTTATATCTGAATCATTTCCAATAACAAAGGGGCTTAAACAAGGATTTCCTTATAAAACTACCTAAATTTCGAACATGACACAGCCCTTCTTGCAAATAGTCAAGCAGAGCTGATGGAACTTATACGACTGATCGAAAACGAAAGTAAAATATTTGGTCTGAAATTAAACATATCAAAGACAAAGATCATGATAGTGGACAGACTACACAACAATCATCCACACATAACCACAATTGACCGGTTCGAGGTTGTGAACTCATACTTATATCTGGGATCATTAATCACCAACACAGGGTCATTACAAGAAGAGATTAAACGTAGATGTGATCTAGCAAAAGTTGCCACAGCAAAAATGACCAAAATATGGAAGGACTGTCAAATTTCAAGAGCGATAAAGATGAGGTTGATCAACTGCTTAATATTCCCAATACTGACCTACGGATGTGAATCTTGGACTCTGAGACAATCGAAGAGAAGAAAGATAGACGCCACTGAAATGTTCTGTTGGAGACGAATGTTACGAATTCCTTGGACCGACCATAGAACAAATAATTCAATTTTAAGAGAGCTAAAAGTTAGTCAACGACTCTAGTAAAGTCCATCTCCAACAATTAAAATATTTTGGACATGTTATGAGAGCAAACACACAAAACATGGAAAGACTCATAATACAAGGAAAGGTAGAAGGCCGAAGATCACGAGGAAGATCTCTATCAAGATGGATAGATCAAATTACAGGAATATGCCAAAAAGCTATGCATGAATTAAAAGAAATGACCAGAGACAGAGATCTCTGGAGACGGACAATACACGACATCACGTCGATCACTACACTCCCCCTGGGGGGGGGGGGGTCAGGATTGAAGAGAGAGAAACAAGGATGTTGTCTATCTCCGACCTTATTTAAAATATACAGAGTGGCCCAAAAGTCTGGAAACGGCTAATTATCTCGTAAGATGCTAATCATAATTATACAAAATTTAAGGTACACCTGTTTTGGGATACAGAGATTCCATATTTGATATTTACAATGTTGCCAGATTTGCCGTTTTTCTTATATTATTAGTAACTTTGGTTTTTCAAATACATCACCCTGTATATTCAGTCATAATTGGAATTTCCTATTCAATACGAGTTCAACCATATGTAACACTTATGATTTTATGTCATCTGGAAGGTCATAAATACATAAAACCGAAGTCTGGCAACGCCTAAATTATTTCAATAAATTTTTTAATACTAATTATTTTCAAATACATTAAAACGTAACAATTGATAGTTTAGAACATTTTTTAACATAGTAGTTACGTTATTAAATGTTCAAAATGTGCTCAATTTGTGAGTTGACAGCACCCTAATCGATGGTAGAAGGCGTCTACCACATTTCTCCATGATTGTTTAGAAATTATTCGAGATTCATTGATAATTCGTTGCCTTAGCTCTGGAAGACTTGCTGGTTAAGTTTTGTAAACTGAATTTTTCAAGTATCCCTTATAAAAATAATTTTTAGGATTGAGATCGGGTGAACGTGGAGGCCATTCAATTCTACCTTGTCTACCAATTTATCGTCCAGGAAATGTCTCATCTAAATATCGCCGAACATTTACACCAACTATCTGACGTTAAATTTCTTTCGACAAAAAATGACCCAATTGAATAAGTAACTACTATATCTGACCATACATTTAATTTTTGTGGTTTTTGAGTATGGTTTTCACCCATTCAGTCTTCAGTGTGAATTTACGTCACACCAGTACCTTAAATTGTTTCGATTTACACTTCCACATAGTGTAAAAGTTGCTTCATCGGAAAAACATATTCTGTTAACGAAATTTTAATAATTTTCAATTTTATCCATCATTACCTTAGTAAACTCTAATCTACGACCAAAGTCATCATCACTTAATTCTTGCAATAAGTTAATTTTGTATGATTTAAATTTATTTTTACGTAATAAACGTAAGACTGAAGAATGAGCTACATCATGTACTTGTGCAACCCTGCCTGGGGATGTATGTGGATCTTCAACAAAACTTTGCTTATATCTGAAGTTTTGTTGTCATTGATAACTCGTTTCGGTCAACCTGATCGGTATCTATTTTTTACTTCTCCAGATTCCTCAAATCGCCTTACAGTTTTTTGTACCGTCGTCTTATGAATAGGAGAACGGTTTAGAGAACGGCATTTAGAGAAGCAATTTAAATTGCAGAACTTTTTGAACCACAACTACTGTCAATTTTAGTTCATAATTTAAATGGTGAACAAATGTCAAAATCACAGCATTCTCCATTTAAATTTATTAAAATCTACATATTTTGCACTGTTTTATGTATTTAAGATCTTTCAGATTACATAAAATCAAGTGAACATATGATTGAACTCGTATTGAATAGCTGAACCCGTGTGAAATTCACACTGAATGCGTGAAAACCATACTCAAAGACCACAAAAATTAAATGTATGGTCAGTTATAGTAGGTACTTATTTAATTGGGCCATTTTTTATTGAAAGAAATTTAACGTCAGATAGTTGGTGTAAATGTTCGGCGCTATTTAGATGAGATATTTCCCGAACGATAAATTGGTAGACAAGGTAGAATTGAATGGCCTCCACGTTCACCCGATCTCAATCCTAAAGATTATTTTTATTAAAGATATTTGAAAAATTCAGTTTACAAAACTTAACCAGCAAGTCTTGCATAGCTAAGGCAATGAATTATCGATGAATCTCGAATAATTTCTAGACAATCATGCAGAAATGTGGTAGACGCATTCTACCATTGATTAGAGTGCTATCAGCTCACAAATGGAGCACATTTTGAACACTTAATAAAGTAACTATTATGTTAAAAAATATTCTAAACTATCAATTGTTACGTTTTAATGTATTTGAAAATAGTTATTATTAAAAAATGTATTAAAACGATTTAGGCGTTGCCAGACTTCTGTTTTATGTATTTAAGACCTTCCAGACTACCTTTCTATCAAATTAGCTAGCTTTCTATCAAATTTTGTATACTTATATCTAGTAATTTACGAGATAATTAGCCGTTTCCAGATTTTTGGGCCACTCTGTATATTCAATCATCGCTAGAGCAGTGGAGGAAACAAGTATCCGGAATGGGAATAAACATAGGCGATGGTAAATGTCTAACAACTTTATTTTTCGCAGATGATCAGGTAGTCGTAGCGAATGATGAGGAAGACATGGACTACATGTTTAGAAAACTAAAGAAAGAATATGAAAAATGGGCCTCATTATGAATATGTCAAAGACAGACTATCTTAAAATAGGAGATGATAAAGAAGATCCAGAGTTAGAAATTAGAAACACAAAAACATGCACGGAATATAAATATCTCGGATCTATAATATCTAAAGAAGGCACTACGAAAAGAGACATGGAAAACAGAACTCAGCAGGGAAAAAAAAGCGGTTAACATTCTAAACTCTCTATTATGGTCTAAAGATATTAAACAAGAAACGAAATTGACAATCTATCGAACCTTGGTAGAGCCTATTATGACTTATGGGGCAGAAGTTTCTTTAGAAATGGATTTTCTAAGGAAAGCGTGTGGTGTATCCAAAAAAGATCATATCAGTAATGAAGATATTAGAAGAAGGACAAATACTGTATATTCCAGTGTAGACAGAATTGAAACGAGACAACTAGTCTGGTATGGTGACGTAAAGCAAATGAATGAAGATAGATGGCCAAAGAAAGCTTTAAATTACATACCACAACAAAGAAGGGGAAGACCTTCAGTTGCCTGGGAAGAAAATGTACGACCCATAATGAGAGATAGAGCCATTAAAGAAGACGAATGGATGGACAGAAAACGATGGCGGTCGAAATGCGAGAGGCGGCAGAGGCTGTAGGAACCTCGCTTTTATATATATATATATATATATATATATATATATATATATATATATATATATATATATATATATATATATATAAAGTAATTCGATTTCTGCATACGTTTACGAATTTTGTCTTAGGTTTCGCAATACAAAGAGTTACTTGCCAGTTTTTTCGTAATTTCTCTTCCTTTGAAAAGTAGTGGAGATGTATATCTTTCGTACATTGAGCAGAATATTGTGGCAATTGAAATTTATACCAGTTTTAAACTCTAATTGATTCAAATTTTTGACATTTATCCCTATTTTATTAGTTATCTATTTTGGCAGCAGTTGGCAGCACGGTCGATTGAGAACGCTAATAAGTGTATTGGTTGTTTTAAATGTTGTGATGTTTCTATCTTTTTAATTTTGTGGCATGCCCTTTACATATAGTATTGTTCTCCTATAATTTTCCCATGATTCAGATTTGTATATGATTAAATGTTAAAACAGTACACATTTTAAACAGTACAGGCGATATGCATCAACACTGTCGCAGTTTTTTTAATTTTCATTAAACTCACGTTGATTTAACTATGAACAAACTTTTTGTTCTTCTTTCACCTTCAATGTTATGTTAACAATTACTACCGT